TTTTCAGGTCAGGGGGTATCCCGGGATAGTCGGGCACGTCCAGGGCCGAAGTCGCCTGCTTCGCAGCAGAAGGCTTGAAGAGCAAAGTAGGAGCGGAGGGCCGTGATTTCTGTCAGACCTGGGCGAAAGCCATAAAGAGGGTATAGCTCTTTGAAAGTTGAAATCCACAAAAATGTGTGCGATGAGACGCCTTCCGCAACCTCCGCAGTAGACTCCTGTCTCATGAGGTCTCATGCAAGAAACTCAGCGCAAGGGACCATGCAAAGCAGAGCAACGCAGAGCCACTGAGACCCTGCCTGTTCAGGCACCTCGTCACAGATGCCGCAGGTCGCCTTGCAGAAATCCTGCGCCGAGCCGTTACACCGTTACACGTGGCCGGCGGAGTACAAATAAGACAGAAGAGTGAGAATAATATGAAACACCGGCACTGTGTCGGCTCGCCCCTGCATGGACCACATCCCAACAATGTCCTGCATGAAGACCTCGTGCGCAGCACCTGCGACGAAGCGACCACGAAAACTTCCCTTTCAATGCTGTGAAAGCTCGTGCCTGGAAGGCAGTGCCCTGCGTCCTTCCATTTGGCGCAATCCGGAACGCCGTCGCCACAAGTCTTGGATCCAACAAGCTTCACCTGCCCGAGCCAAAGCAAACAACTGCAGGTAGTGGAGACCATGCCGACAAAGAGTTGCAAAATCTGATTCATCCCTGCAGGCGCAAACTTCCAGCAGGCAGAGCAGCAAGTCTGTTAAAGCAACGTCGGCACCGCGCACTTTCTCCGTGCCTCGTCGTTCGCCAAACCTTCAGGCCACACGGCTTCGGTCAATCGCTCCTTAGGGAAACCCACTCCGTTCCGAGTCGGCTGCAGACTCTGCAGGCTCTGAGTCTGCTGCCTGTTGAGCCAATGACACCGCCACCGGCAGCAACGAAGCCGTGCCAGTCCCGTTGAAGTAGATTCCTGGTATGGAGCATACGCACGATGAGCCGCCTACTTCAGGCCTAAGTGGATGCGATCCCAGAATCTAGCATCCACTCCGTCGGGCACGGAGAAGGGGTACATCACGTTGACCATGGAGATTCCGGGATCGCAGTGGTGCTTAAATCGCCTGGCTCCAGAGGCGTTCAGCAGCAAAAAGAGGGATTTCTCGCCACGCACACTGATCGCGACTGCGACTCTTCGTCCAAGCCGCGGCTCCGCGGTTTCGCAGAGCTTGCGGAAGGGCTCCATGGACCTCACCTCTTTCTCGATGCTCCTGCAGGGCGGAGACGGCCGCACAATGGAGTAATTTTGGCTGGGTACCTCTGAAACCCGAACCCTGGGCCTAGGCACCTTGGGTATTTGTGTTTATGACTCTCCAAAAACTCCATACCCTCCGACTCCGGAGCAGCGCTCCTCATGTAGTCGAGGGTAGAGGAGCTCAAGACATTGCCTGAACAAAAAGCGATCGGAATTCCGATCGGTACTACACTACTATAACGCTTAGAAATAGGCATTATAACACTTGGCAGCCAGGAGGCCATCATCTCGCCGAACATATGTTAGCTCAAAGCGATATGGCTTGTACCTTATAGCCACATCTTAGATTGACTCTCTGCAGCATTCGGGGACAAACGCTAGAAATGGCAAGGGGCAGTTTCAGTCTCGACTGCAACCTTCGGCCAGGTTGGACGGGTTCGCCGTCCTGCAAAAATGGGAAAGTCTCTATGAAAACGCGTGCATTGCTGTTCACTGCGCTGGGTTTCGCGTCCCAATACGCCTCCTCGGTGAGCCCCAGCTCTGAGGCATTCCGCTCCGAGCTATAGAGGCGCAGGCCCAGCGCGGCTCCTGTCTTCTTGCGGCGTCGGTCCCTGTCCCTTCGGTCCCAGTTCCGAGCAGAGGACGACCTGGTGAAAGACGCCGGCCCTGACGTTCTCTGCGAGCATCAAGAATCGCCTGTGCAGGCGCAGCAGTCGCAATCCATCAGTTCGAAAAAGCAACCGCTGGCCTGCAGAATTGCGTCGTAGTTCAACGATGCAGCGCTGTCAGACTCCATGAGAGAATCCTCACATGAAGTAGCACGCTCATGTCCAGTAACTTGTCGGCAACATTGCCGTACAAACGCCCTTGCAGAATGCAAGCAAGGCACGAAGTTTGTGTTTAGACTGATGGGAGCACTCACGACGCCAATGCCGATGAGGGCAAAGACGGCGAGGAGAGTGCTCAAGTAAACAAGGCAGGGACAGCGGAGCACCCAGCGCCAGGGTAGCCTTTGTTGTTGCGTGGTGTAACACGTTCCCGAACTGTCGATTTCAGTGCGTCAATTTTGAGACGCCAGCGCCACCCGGTGCTTTCGCAAAGAAACCCACAAAGAGCCTGACGGCAGAATTCTACACCCGCAAATAGGACCACAGCGCAGGCTCTGTAACTGAGCGCTTGAGACCGGCGCGGTCTGCATCGATATGCTCCTGAGCTGAGGTGCGCGTTCTCTGCTGCGTCAGGGCAACTGCGAGCAAAGCGCATCAAACAACGGGTGCAGTAAGAAGCGAAACGCGAGCACGTCAACATGTACTTACAGACCCACGACCATCCATCCATGCATGCATGCATCCATCCCTCCATTCATCCACCCACCCACCCACCTACTCATCGGTCCATCCATGCATCCATGCATCCATGCATGAGTTCCATGCATGCATGCATGCATGCATGCATCCATCCATCCATCCATCCCATTCAGGCCAGCATGGTGACATACATGCTTACATACATGACTACATGCTTACATGCCCACATGCACGTATGCCTACAAACATACATACATATGTATCTTTCTATCTACCTATCTATGTATCTATCTCTTGCTTTCTGTATCTATATCTCTCTCTCTCTCTCTCTCTTTCTGTCGATCATCTCTCTATCTCTCTGTCTGTGTGAGTTTATCTCCAACCGGTCTCTACCTATCTACCGAGACAGCGCCGCCGAAGATATCCTTGGGTTAAGAAATTGAGCCCCTCGGGCATCCGCAGGAAACCTATTCTCCAAAAACTGCACGAATTGAAAATCAGATTTCCAGGGTTCCCTGACCTCGGCGCGCCAATCCTTGTGTTGCTCTTCTCGATTTGTCTGCGCTTCAACAGCACCGAATTAAGAAACTGGAGGGCTGAATTTGGCATTTCAGGGGCGACGAGGCTTTGTCACTTCAGAAACGGAGGGGCTCGATTTCCTGAATTGAAGAAAGTAAAGGGCTCGATTTTGGGTTCTGGGCGTCCTGATAAGATCGTCACCCACGCCTATCTATCTGTGCGCCGATATACCGATCTGTGATCTATCGGTTCGTCAACCTACCTACATATTCTAAACATGTCTTGTCTATCTACATGTTGTTGATTTGTCTACTCACTTGCTCCTGTGTGCATTATCGTAAGCAAGCACACAGCGAAGAACGGCATAAAAGGAGGCTCCTGCAACGCCTTCTTCATCATGTCAGCGTTGCGACCCCCTCGGAGCCGGATCTCGTTCTCCCCGTAGCCGACGCTTTGGAGCAGACTGCCCTTCCAAGGCCAAGGCACTGCTACATCCGAGCTGTTGGCAATGCAGGGCCCACTGCCGGCCTTCTCCCAGCTGTCATCTCCAATGATGACCTGATACATTTGACCCCGTTAAAGCAGAACCTGCATGATATTTGACCCCCTTAAGGCAGAATCGAAGCTCACTCAGCTCCTCTCTTCTCGCCGGCCTCCCGCGTGACGATGGGCTTCTTCTGCGACCAGTCGATGCTGTTCGTGAGCAAAAACAGCTCATCCGCGCTGGCACGAACGCCTGAAAATGTGGACCCTCATTCTCAAGGGCTCAAGTGAGAGCCCTCGGGGCCGCCGCCCCCCCCCCCTTCCACCCTGAGATCTGTTCAGCACCTGAGGGCCCTTGAGAGCCGCGTTTGCAGCAGCAGCCTCCGCAGCGGCCCGGCGGGCTCGCTTCCTGAGATCAAGGCGGTGGATTCTCCGATCTGGGAGTTTCAGAAGATTAGGGTACCTTATTTTGGGGTCCTTATAATAGGGATCCTATTATTTAGGGTACTATATTAGGGTCCCCTATTTTCCGAAACCCCCGTCTAAGAACCGGGTCATCAACCCACAAGAAGGCGCAGAGCTAAGAGTGCGAAAGTCTCTTCTTAGCGTAAGACCATCCCTCAGAATGATGGTGAAGAGCACTAGCGATGGCAAGCATAGTCTACCAATGGCAATCTTGGAACAGCAGTCATACTGATGGTGATTGCCGATACTCCTGCTGCTCGATCTCTCAGGATATAGGAGCCGAACCCCTAAAAACTCGAAAAGTCTTCAAGCCCTATAAACCCTGGCAACCCTCAAAGATTGGAAAGAAGCTCCGGGGTCTCTAAGCTCTCTTTCGCGCCTCCTCCTCCGGCTCGAAGGGGTCCAAGTCGGCCATCCGAAAGAAGCGCAGCGGGAACCGACAGCTAGATTAGGGTTCAGGGTTTAGGGTTTAGGGTTTAGGGTTTAGGGTTTAGGGGCCGGTAACCCTTTTTTTGCTACTCAGTGAGTCTCGACTGCCTTCGAAGGATTCTGACTTAAAAGGGCCTATATACGTCTAGATATGGGCACTTTTGTCGCGGGTGGGTGGTAGGGGCTTGGGGTCAGGGGCTTGGGAAGCGCTCTGCAGGCTTGGGAGGCGCAGTGACGGCTTGATTGAGACCTAAGGCTGCTGTACAGGGCTCGGGTCCCTCGTCTTCTGCCCTTGAAGGCCCCTTGCTAGTTGTTGCTTCAGGATTCCTGCCATATTCTTAGCCTAAGCTCTGACTGCTCTGGTTCATGTGACGGAACCGTCTTCAAACTGATGATGCCAACGACAGCGGCGGCCAGTGTTGGTAAACCTGTATATATGCAACTGGATCCCACAGACTCCGTATGCCCCCTGTGCTCAACTGCAATGCCTGACACTAGAGAATGAACCTGGAAAGGAGCCTTCCCAAGAATGTCAAGACTGGCCGAACTGAACACAACCGCGCCTGCAAAGCTGCCGCAACCTGCAGGAAAGGGAATCTCTGCAACTACACTCTTTGGCTACACGCGAACCACGGAGAGCCGCACGCTTTTATCAGAACGTGGGCGGCGCACCAAGAATTTCATCTCCAGGAACAGTGACACACATGTTACAGCAAACAGATCGGGTGAGAACGACAATGGCCTTGTCAATTGCGGCCCTGTGAGTCGGAGCTGTGATACTTCCTCCAACCTCCGTTCCAGAAGTACCACTCGCCCTTCCATTTGGACCAGTGCGTGTTGGGATTCGGGCTGGAGGTCTGGCTCTGGCCCGCATCGCTAGAGGTGGGCCGGCCCAGTTCTCGGGCCAGCTCTTCCAGGCATGGCTGCATCCGAATGTCTATGGAACCGCCTAACGGCCCGTTCAAACAAGAGAGAAGGAGTTCACGACTAAAGGTGATGCCGGCGTTGGTATAGACCTTCTTGACCTCCGCAACGCCGGCACCCTCTCGTTGGGCTTCTGGGGCCACGCGTGGTGGAGTCGCACCTGTCGTTGCACGCGCTGCAACTCTGCTCTGTCGAAGGGCAACTTTCTTTTTCAATTCCGTCAGCTCCTGCTGCAGCACCGACAGCTTCTCGTCTTGCACTGCCGTCGCGTGCTGCATTTCGAGGAGTCGAGCATGTTGCTCGTTCTTCTTCTGCACAATTGAGACGACGCCCTCCTTGAGGTCGTCAAAGGCTTTCCGGACCATGTCCACGGAGGTGTTACCCCCGTCCATGGCTCCAATCGCAACTATCCTTGAATTCAAGTTCTGCTCTGCTGGACCTTGTGTCGCGCTTGGGCAGAAAGACACACTCATGCCCGGAATCTCAACACGGCCGAAGATAGTGTGAGCCTAAGGTGTGGCAGGCTTGGCTTTGCTCTTGCTGCCTTCCCAGTCCGAAACAACAAACGCACTTGACCTTCGGACGTCTCTGTCTACGCACGGCGCTGCCTTTTCTCCAACGTCCGTCAGGTCGACTTTCAGGTGGACAAAGAGGTGGCCTCTCTGAATGCTCTGGGAAGGGTGGGGAGTGCCCGCCGGCTCCCGACATGTTCTCAGGCCCGCGCCACGGAGCCATGGCTTGCCCAGCTGCGGCATGCCGTAGCCCAGCAGGGCATGCTGCGCATGAAGAGCTTCAGCTAGTCTCTCAAATATTACATCTGTAGAGAGCACAGAGAAACACACACTCCACGTAGCAATGAAGCATCGTTACGCCCGCACCTGCATTTGCTTGGCCTGGGGGCGCACGAAAAGGATGGATCCACGAGACCTTGCTCGAGTGCTAGGACGTGGGGGACGTGGTGAGCAACACTTAGGCGCTGGGCGCCCTCCTGTGCTTCAGCAGCATCGACCGGTCCTGCCGGTCTGTAGCGAAAGCACAGAGACTAGCTGACTCGCTTTCCTTCACCGACACCTGTTTGCGTTGCTTGGGTGGCAAGTTCTGGCAACATGCAAACATGTTGCTCTGCCTTCCGATTTTGATTGCTGGCATCAGTGTGGCCCGGACTGGATTGAAACAGTCTGCACATGGTAGATATACAAAGCGGCCTTGCCGATTAGTTCCCGTCGTCGTCGACATCGTCCTCGCCGTCGACATGGTCGTAGGGTTGCCGTTGTGGTGGCACGCCCTCTTAACGGACCGGAAGACATCGTGAAAACCGCAATGGACGGCAAAAAGCACCATTATGACTAGCACGGTCTCCGAATTCTAGAACTGCTAGCGCTGGCCGACACGCTTCCGATTGAAACTTTTGAGCCGCTCCTGCGCGCGGAAGTAAGCTTTGTCTTCCCAGTAAGTGAAGCCGGCCCAGCCATGGCGTCTGCAGATTTCCTGAGAGGTCAAAGACTGGGGCCAAGCACAGCTTCCGGCAGACAGGCCAGCGCCTTGCAGGACTCGAGGTCACCCGTCTTGGCTGTGCCTGCATCCTGCCACAGTAGAGGCTGAGAGAGGCTGAGAGAGGCTGAGAAAGAGAGAGGGATACGGGAGTTTCCGAAAATACGGGGTACAGTGCCTTATCTCTTGGGGTCCTTCTAATAAGGATCCTACTATTTGGGGCACTATAGGGTACTATATTGAATTGGGGTCCCCTCTTTTCTAAACAGAAAAAAGAGGGAGACGGAGGAGGGGAGCGAGGCCCAGGGAACCGGACCTGGCCAGGGAAGGCGTCCGAGTCATCGAAGCGGCTCCAGGTCCCCTCGCAGCAAGAGGAAAGGGCCACCCCGGGCCCCCAGCCGCTTCTAAGGAGGCTGAAGGGTCGGCCCAGACGAAGTTCTATGGACAAGGCTGGATTAACAGTTGATATGACATGATATGATATATGTATATATAGATAGATAGAT